CCTCGGTTACCTCCCTGGATTGCTATATCTCCCCTCCTCGTGTTTATTCCCTGATTTCTTTTCTTTCCCCATGTTATATCTCTTCCCTATGTTTACTCCTTGGATTCCCCCTTTTTATCCCTGGAATTTTATGTCCCCCCCCCTCTATGTTTACTCTCCATGGATTCCTCTCTCCCTGTTTACCCAGAAGTCGTTATATCATAATTATCTTGGTTTTACGACCTAGTTCTAGTAGTTAGAGAAGAAATCTCATCATCTTTTTAATTCGTAATATTTGCAGGAAATGGAAAAGTACAAACAAATAGAGAAGCATATGTATGGAAAAATGTTTGGTAAAAATGTTTAATTATTGTGAGTTATATATATGAATAAATGTTGTATCAGATCTACCATGTTATTTGATTTCTGATAGGATATTGGATTAATCGGAATTCACAAATTTAGATTTTAAATTTTAAAACTAATTTAACTTAGATTTTTTATTTTCACTTTGACATTTAAATAATAAACCTTGATACATTTTTAAAATTTCAAAGTTTTTATTTTGTTCTCCTTTGTTAGGAAAGAATATGTACCAGTACAATTTACTCTCCTGTACTCCCTGGTTAAGAAAGAATATGTACCAGTACAGTAAACTCCTGTACTCCCTGGTCAAGAAAGAATATGTACCAGTACAGTAAACTCCTGTACTCCCTGGTCAAGAAAGAATATGTACCAGTACAGTAAACTCTCCTGTACTCCCTGTTAAGAAAGAATACGTACCAGCAGTACAGTACTCTCTCCTGTACTCCCTGGCCAAGAAAGAATATGTACCAGTTCAGTACTCTCTCCTGTACTCCCCGTCAAAAAAGAATATGTACCAGTACAGTAAACTCTCCTGTACTCCCTGTCAAGAAAGAATATGTACCAGTAGAGTACTCTCTCCTGTACTTCCTGTCAAGAAAGAATATGTATCGGTACAGTACTCTCTCCTATACTCCCTGGTTAAGAAAGAATATGTACTAGTACAGTACTCTTTCCTGTACTCCCTGGTTAAGGAAAAATATGTACTCGTACATTACTCTCTCCCGTACTCCATTGGTCCTGTAATCCCTGACAAGAAAGATTTTGTACCAGAACAGTACACTCTACTATACTCCATGGTTAAAAAAAATATGTACTAGTACAGTACTCTCTCCTGTACTCCCTGACAAGAAAGAAAGATTATGTACCAGTACAGTACTCTCACCTATACTCATTACTTACAAAAATATGAACAGTTTACACTCTCCTGTATTCCTTGGTTATAAAAGAATATGTACCAGTACACACAGCTTACACTCTCCTGTACTTCCTGTTTAAGAAAGAATAAGTACCATTACAGTACAGTTCATTTGGAACGCTTTTCTACTTTAAAGATCAATTATATAGCATGGGTATTGATTGGGCTACGGTAGTATAATTTTAATCTTATTATTTTAAGAAGAAAAAACCAGAGCTTCCATCCCGCCCCTCCCTCATATATCCTCTTATTTTTATTACCTACTGGAAAGTCCTTTAATCAAGCTAATGATATCTTCATTTTATCTTGCAAGGCTATACTACTTCAAAGCATGGTCTACTGTCTGCCATTCTAGAAACCCTCAGGAGATCTTATCTTCGAACCATAGACAAAACTCTGAACAGACGGAGCAGTATTTATCAAAACTTCGAACAGACGGAGGAGTATTTATCAAAACGCTGAACAGACTGAGCAGTATTTATCAAAACTCTAAAAAGATAGAGGAGTATTTATCAAAACTCTTATCAGATAGAGGAGTATTTATCAAAGCTCTTAACAGATAGAGGCGTATTTATCAAAACTCTTAACAGATAGAGGTGTATTTATCAAAACTCTTATCAGATAGAGGTGTATTTATCAAAACTCTTATCAGATAGAGGCGTATTTATCAAAACTCTTAACAGATAGAGGCGTATTTATCAAAACTCTAAAAAGATAGAGGAGTATTTATCAAAACGCTTTTTAGATAGAGGTGTATTTATAAAAACTCTTATCAGATAGAGGCGTATTTATCAAAACTCGTGAGCAGACGGGGCAGTATTTATCAAAACTCTTAGCAGATAGAGGTGTATTTATCAAAACTCTTAACAGATAGAGGCGCATTTATCAAAACTCGTGAGCAGACGGGGCAGTATTTATCAAAACTCTTAAAAGATAGAGGTGATTTATCAAAACTCTTAACAGATAGAGGCGTATTTATCAAAACTCGTGAGCAGACGGGGCAGTATTTATCAAACCACTGATAATTCAACATTTTGAACTAAATTGTGAAATTGTACCATATGAATACACAGTGAGTGCCATTAACTATGATTATTTTTATAATAGAGCATGAGAGGTTGTTCTCTTGTAATTTTGTTTTCTCACTAACTTCAGGGTTGTCCAGAATAAATGAGACTTTAACAGTTAAAAACGACAATCTAAAGGTTGAATTTTGTCCTATGAGTTGAATTCTATAATGATATTTTTAATGACAAGTCAAATAGCAAAGAGACCAAAACTAATCATTCCCTTAATTCTGGGATTTCCAAACTGTGTCCTGTCTGTTTAGTTCTTCTTATTAATATTAGGAGTGTTGTTCTAGTTTAGTTTTTAAGATAAATATTGACTATCTAAATTTAACTATTCTCCTTCATATGTAGAAAACAAAGACTACAATTTTGAAACCTTAGGCATCGACGTCGTTTTTTTTATTGATTGAAACCCTTGTTTGTTTGGACACCCTGTACTCTGTTTTATATGAAATGCCATGTTTAGGAAGACCTGTTTATTTATGATTTTTAATATTTGATATTAAATATTATAATATTTTTATTATTCTTGCCAAGTCTGCCTAGATATTAAAGATGACCCTGAAAACCGTTCATAAATAAGTAACACTAGATTCTCCTGTTTAAATATTTTGTCTATGGAAGACAGTGAGAATAAATACTGTAGTTTCTGTTTGATTCTCTGATTGGAAATATGTCTATGCTTGACAGTGAGAATAAACACTGTAATTTCTGTTTCTCCGTCTGTTTGAATATTTTGTCAATGGGTGACAGAGAGATTAACATGAAGTTTCTGTTTTATCGTCTGTTTTAATATTTTGTCTATGATTGACGGTAAGAATACATTAATCTGCAATATATGCATACTTGACAAATATTTACTGCTGGGAAACCCAGACAAGTCAAGGAGACCTTTTACAAGGTTATGTTTGGTTAACTGTAGCAGTCAATGCTATGTTTTAAATCATGGTATAGCACAAAAATATGCACATTTATTATTTTTGCTTTTTAGGCTTTATTGACCAGGTCACTGTTTTAAGTAATAGTTTACAGTAATAACCAGAAAACAATGGAATAGGAAGACGACAATATAGCAATATAATTCAGTGTATTTTATCTTGTTGCAAAGCAAATAGTTTTACTTGCCACTTATCAAATCAATAATTAGGTATTGAGGTCTGTTTCACATGCGCAATTACTGTGTAGCGTGCATCAGTTAAAACTAGAATCTAAAAGTCGTCTTCATATTTCAGAGTTTTCTGATTATCACTGTAAATGATTTCCCGAATTTTTGAATTCATAGATTTTATTTTCATTTTATGCTTCTTCTTTTTTTAGAATTTCTACCTTTCCTTGAATTCCTCTCATAAGACTGTTGAGAATATTGTTAAAACAATTAAATTTCTTCCAAAATATACACGAGGAAATTAATTTGATTTAGGAAAAAGGAAATTTACTTTACCAATGGTTCTTTAGACTAATTTTTGGTCAGGGAAACCCGTGGTTTAAAAACATTTTGAGATAAAGTTGCAAGAATATTTCCACGAAAGTTGCGCGGAGCGTGTCATTCTTTTTTACTTTATTGTCCCTATAGGGACGTTAAGCAACTTAATGCCCCGCTGTTGGGGGTAATTATGAGTCGGTAATGTTTGTCAAAATGCGGTAACAGTTCTGGAACTAAAAGAATGTATATAGGATCAGAAAATGATCTCAAAGGTCGAAACTTCAGAGTGAGATTGCGTTGATCTACAAATGCTTAATCCGTGTATTAATTCACAGAGGTTTTATTGATTTTTTAAAGTTTCCAAAAAAAATCAAAGAAGTTTTGCAAATTTTAAAATTTTTAATTCCAAATTTTGAACTTGAAAGAAAATATATGCCATGCAATAAAACAAATCAAAAACTTATTTTTTGGTTAGTTATTCATTTTTTTCTAAAATTATTAAAAAGCTTATTAAAAGCAACCCACCACCACTTTATACACATACATCTAAACAGTTTGTTTTTAATCTTTGTGACAGAAACAATCGCAAGGAAAAATAATTGTCCTCAAACATTTTTTTAAAAAGTGAATATTCGCAAATTATCTTTTTTCCATCTCATAATCTGAGTTCGCTTCCCTTTTGTCCATTTGACAGCCCAAATTTTTGTTTTAAAATCTTTTTTGTTTGTTTATTTTCTGTGGTTTTTAACAATTTAAATTTTTTTTTATCGATTTTGATGGTTATTATCGTTAGAACTGACGAGGGTCAACCCGGACCGAAATATACTTTTACTCTACAGAGGTTTGGTCCATCACCATCACCGAATTTTAAATCTAACTAAATTAAGTTATGAAATTTTGGAAGTTTGATTAAAAGTGTTTAAAAAGCGAACCTAAACGCTTAACAACCATTACTAGAAATTGTTGTTGAAAAGAGTGGACCGCTGAAAACGTTGTTAAATAGGACGGATCCAGGAAGAAAAAGTGTGTTTGTTGAAAGGACGTTGAGAATAAGATTCAATTTTGTTGAACAGGACGGAGATGAAGATTGAATGGCTCCGGAAGGAAGAAAGATGCAACAGGAAGAATGACGTATATCCACTATCCAGGTGGATACTGAACCTAGAAAAAACAAGACTGGAAGTTTTTCAAAGTACTTATGCATCAATATCTAAAAGATCAAAATATTTAATATTTAACTTTTAAAAACCTTATATATCTCAATTAAAACAAATAAATATAGATAATTTACTATTATTTAAAGATTCCATGGTTATTGCAGACGCAGGGTTTGCTGGATTCGCTTTATTTGTATATTTAAAGAATACTAGATTTACTAGATACCGGATCCGGATCCTACCTACCAGAGTGTATTTTGTATACTGAATAAGAAGAGTATGGTATACCGGATCCGGATCCTACCTACCAGAGTGTATTCTGTATACTGAATAAGAAGAGTATGGTATACCGGATCCGGATCCTAGCTACCAGAGTGTATTCTGTATACTGAATAAGAAGAGTATGGTATACCGGATCCGGATCCTACCTGCCAGAGTGTATTCTAAATACTGAATAAAAAGAGTATGGTATACTGGATCCGGATCCTAGCTACCAGAGTGTATTCTGTATACTGAATTAGAAGAGTATGGTATTCCGGATCCGGATCCTACCTATCCTTGATGGATCAATAAATCTTAAACAGATCATCATTGTGAACCAACAATAGATCAATCTCATCCTTGATGGATCAATAAATCTTAAACAGATCATCATTGTGAACCAACAATAGATCAATCTCATCCTTGATGGATCAATTAATCTTTAATATATCCAACATTGTGAACCAACAATAGATCAATCTCATCCTTGATAAGATGAATTAATCTTTAATATATCCAACATTGTGAATTAACAATAGATCATAGTTTTGGAACTAATTAATATCCCCTTAAAAACATGAAAATTTAGGAAATAATCACGCAACCTCGTTTGGTTTATTCAATAAATTTTCAAATACGTAGTACGACCTGTACCTCATATCAAAAATAAATAATATATTTTTAGGCTCAGTACACCAAAATGAACCAGGATATAAGTGGGGTCATCTATATCTAAAAAATGTTTTATTTTGAGACACCCTATACCCTATAGTGAATAATAAAAGTATGGTATACCGGATCCTATCTACCAGGGTGTATACTGTATAATAAGAGTATGGTATACCGGATCCTATCTACCAGGGTGTATATTGTATAATAAGAGTATGGTATACTGGATCCGGATCCAATCTACCAGGGTGTTTACTGTACACCGGATCCGAATCCTATCTACAAGGGTGTATACTGTATATTCCGGATCTGATCTACCAGGGTGTATATGGTATACCGGTTCCGAATCCTATATACCACGGTGTATACTGTATACCGGATCCGAATCCTATAGACACAGGTGTATACAGTATATTCTTGATCTGATCTACCAAGGTGTATATGGATATGGTATACCGGTTCCGAATCCTATCTACCNCTTGGCATACTCTTTTGAAGGATTTTCCCTAATTATAATGATTCTCTAAAAAAATAGTTTTCCATCCTAAACATATTTCAGATTTTGTAAAACCTTTTTCATTCTGGAAAATTTAGCAAATTTTAATTAGATCGACTAAATGTGCATTGTTAAGTCCATTGTGTTTGTGCATAATGCTGTGAATTGTATGGATAAAAATTAAATAAGTATACAATTTTCTGCCAGATTCCTCATAATTATAATATGTTTATTGTTTAAGCTTTTTTATTATTTTTTATTTTCAGAATAAAACATGTTTGAAATTTGTTATTCACTGAAGGAGCTATAGATTAGAATAACAGGAGAACAATATTTATTTTTAGCTACTGTGTCTTCATATGATTTTTATATAAATACAAAGCCTGAAAAATTTAATTTTTTTGCAATCAAACCCTTAAAAAAAGTACTCTTTTTAAAAAAAATTTTCGCGGAACGGGGGGGCTAGCCCCCCCGTTACCCCCCCTAATAACTTTCAGATTTCGCCCCCCCCTCAGAAAAGGCCTAGTTGCGCCGCTGATACTGTATACCGGATCCGAATCCTATCTACTAGGGTGTATACTGATTAGTGCATGGTAGCCGGAAAGTAGAACCGTAAAAGTCTTGTTGTACCTTCGTAACCAGCTAGCGTGTAAAAACCTGGACTACTGGCAGCTTAGATGAATAAATAGGTAGACAGATAGTAGGTAGATATTATAGTTTAGATTGGACCGGCGGATGGTAAAGACGTGGTTAGATATTTCCCCCGAGATATAAAACCATCATAGCTCGGACACTTTCCTCGTACTAGGCTGAACACACAGAAAATCAAGTTAGAAGTGAAAACAAGTGGTAAAAGTGTTAAACGTGAAAAGAGTGAAAAATGTATTTGAAATCATTATAAAGTGATAGATTTACATTGAACTTCACGGTAATACAAAGCTATTTTAATTGTTTGTTGAGATCCAGTGATGATTCACATGCATAACAAGTAACTTTATAAATATAGGTGAATAAAAAGTGTGGGGGGGGGGGTCGGAAACTAAACAAATAACCTTTTAAGATAGGGCGAGGTAGGAGTGACCTTTATTCAAACATTAACTTAGATTGGTCAATTTTATCTTAAAGGGACTGTAAGCATAATCTTTAGTGACCCTCCATGCAAAGAAGGCAATGTCCGATTCACAACGGTACCTTTGAAAGCTTTGTCTCATCAAGTATGAATTAGAAATCCATGTTTTTGTTACTTTAACATTTTATTTTCATTTGCGGTTTCTCTGCGCATTCTTGGTTATAAGACGCAATGGAGAAATATCTGAATTTAACAGTTGAGTCAAAAAAACGACAATATCCTTCATATTTATGATCAGATTAAGGTTGAATGGGTACCGTTGTGAATCGGGCGTTTTGAATATTATAATAATAATATAATATTTAATACTTAAAAATTACGCTTACAATTCATTTAAGTATGTTAAGTTAAGTACCAACTGAAATACGATTTCTGATGCCTTTGATGAAATTGTCTGCATACAGTAAATAAGCTTTCTTAATAAAAAAGCAATGCCAGGAATTAATAATGACTGCAAAAGTTTCTTCAAAAGATGATACTTTAGTATAAATATTCTTGTAATTTTTAGTATCTTGGTTTGTGCTCAATTTTCAAAATGCTTAAAAACATAAAAGCTAAATTTGATAGATTCCAAGAATGTGTTGTCGTTCGTAAAAAAAGATGTCCAAAAAGAAAAATATATTTTTCTAAGAGGACTTATGTTGATTGTTAAAAGACAAAACCTCTTTTTCTAAAAAGTTTTTGTTCATGACGAGGATAAAAATGTCCAAGTTTAAACCTGTGGAAAATTAACTTTTTGTGAGATAAAAATATTGTATTCATGCCCAGCACTGGTTGAGATTAAACTTCAAGATAAGATTAAGGATAGTGTTGTGTGTATATTTTATCCTTCTTGACTCTAGTGTAATATTGAAGCACAATAGAGTTCTTATAGATCAGGCATTTAAAGCATGGACATTTCGCCCCCCGGCCCTGCTGGGCTGAGCTTAAGTACAAACTTTGAAAAAGTATCTTTGATTTTAAATAAATCCAAACATTTGTTGATTGTACAGGGTGTCCCAATAAACATGGGAATTCAGTGACGAATTCGATATCGTCTTTTAAAATAATTCGTTGATTTAGTATAGTGATACCTACTGAGAATGCTGTCATCTGTAAGAGTTTCGTCTGCTATGTTCACATTTTGTTTGTTTATGTTTTGACTGCATACAGTTGTACTCAGTAAAACAAGAAAATTGCAGTATACAAACTTGTCCGTCTATCACTATTCATCTTGCGGAGACATTATAGACACATCTTTACAGTCTTTTACCCTTTTCATAAAATAAACTCTAGCAGACATAATAATATTATGGCTTTTAAAATTAGGTATTACAATGCTAATTCATAACATAGACGATATCCAATTCGTCACTGAATTCCCATGTTTATTGGGACACCCTGTATGACACGTGTGTGAACAGTGTCGGACAAATCCATCAGAGAGAAACTTGGTTTCTGATGCATTAGAGATTTATGGGGGGGGATAAAGGATATCTCAAAGTTTTAAGCTCTGCTTACACAAAATTCAGACACCTAACTTTTTTTCAGAAATATTTTTTAAAGAAAATTTCTAATAAATTACAATTTCAAAATTCACGAGAATTCCCTTATAGTAGAGAGTGCTCTGCATAATAAATGCAATAACTTTATATGTAGTTTTCCTCATATATCAACGGCAGATTTTGCAGAATATAAAAATATTAACCCTATTCCTGCTGGGGGGAAGGGGGGTCAAGTTGACCCCCCCTGTAGTTTTTTTTTGCATAACTCAAGAAGTATTGGTCTGAGGCTGTTGAAATTTTCTGACTTTTCCTACATACCCAAAGCCCTCCCTTTAGGCCTAATACCAGGCTTTAATACTAACTGCCTGAGTCCTCAGGCACACTGCCTGAATAACTGCTTTTTCCTGGAACAAACTAAATCTTTGTTTTGACCCACTTTCACTTGTCAGATTTTGATAAAATTTAGCTTTTTGGAAAGCCTTTGACATAAGAAAACGAATTGCACAAGTTTTGCGAAAAAAATTTGCAAATTTTTTGCAAACAACCTGTCAAAGGAAATTTGCACATTTTTAGTTTTTCTTGATTAAAAATGAGGTTATTTAAAATTTTGCAAAATTTTTTGCAGATTTGAAATGGCATGGTCAAGGGCTTTTCAAAAATGTATAATTTTTCATTTTTTGGACAATTTTTTTTTGCAAACATTTTTACTATAAAAATGGATATTGGAATAAAAAATATAATTTTTGCAAATTTGCAATTTTATTTGCAGATTCTAAAAGTAGAGCACACGAGCTTTCCAATGATGTATCATTTTTCATATTTGGACATCAAACATGGGATTTAGAGGGGGGGGTCATATTGACCCCCCCCCCCCAGCATATCCTGGTTTTCAAGTACCCCAGCAGAGATAGGGTTAACAGTAATTTTCCTATATTTGCTCTTTTTCGTGATCTTAACATAATGCATACTATTTACTGTTAATCATCAGAGTAACAGAATATTCTTTTCAAAATATATAAACGTCTATGTTTTATAAATTTCACTGAAAGTGGATGAATTATTTGATGTACTGTTGTGCTTTAGCTGCTTAAAATTCGGCCTATAGTACTCGAAATGAATGTTTACAATGATGTAAATTCACTACACATTGGTTACTCAAGCAGTTATATAACACATTCTACATTATTTTTTTTAAATCAATTCTGTTTTTTTATTTTTTTAAATTTTATTTTCAACTGTTTGGATAATATTTTTTTCATATTTAGAGATAGTACAAATAAGATTAAAAGTTGATTAGCTTAAAAAAATAAGGCTTCAAAAACAGAAAACATACAAATTAAAGCAATAAAAGGGGCTTCGATGATATATGTATGGTATATACTTAAATAAATGCAAAGATGGTAATGCCTGATTCACAACGGTACCCTTATAAAATTTTGTCTGATCAAGTATGAATTAGATATCAATGTTTATTATTTTGAATACTGATTCTTTTCAATTGTGGTTTCTCTACAAAAGTGACTTGCGTATTTTCTACTGCAGGAAAACATATGGAAATTATCAGAACTAAATACTTTTTTAACCAAGAAAAACGGCATTACCTACCCTACGTTATTGATCAGATAAATGTTTCAAGAGTACTATTGTGCATTTTACATTGAAAGTCATTTGAAATTACACTTACAGTCCCTTTCAAATGATATGTGTAAAAGAATGATACTTGCCGATTTGTTAACTTCCTCTTTTATATAAACTAGGCTTTCAGGGCTAGCCTTCGCGTCAATCTTCTATTTTAATTGTGAACATGTTCTCTTTGTATACATAGTAAAACAAAAACAAAATAAAAAATTCGCGGCCTTTATAAAAAAATTTCGTTGATTTTCAAAATTAAATGCAAATCAAATTTTGTTGGAGGCAAATTTTTGAAATTTTAATCATCTATATACAAAGAGAATAGAGGGGAATTTACTAGAAAAAAGTGTAAAACGGCCATTTTGTTGTACTGTTTCCATACTGCAGGTGTACTTCACATATTTATGCTATATAACCTTTTGGGCCCTGGAATATCATTTTATAGAAAATCTAAAATTAATGTTAAAAGAAAACCAAATTATGAAATAGGCTGGTTTCATAATTGACCAATCATCATTTCACAGACTCTATGCCTTTCACTTTACAAACGATGATTTTCCGTTATAACTATAAATCAAATGATGTTTTTTATTCACCTAATTCATTATAAAGTTTATTTAACAGCTTTAAAAAATTCGAAATTGAAATGAATAGTCTAGGGAACATACTGTATTAATGTACTCTACTTCATATAATTTGTGAACATTTACATGATTTGTACACTTTGAACTCCCTTTCAGGCTGAAAGGGACTGAAAAAATTCATACCAAGAGATTCATTAAATTCCCTTCTAATATATATTCTATTCTCTATGTCTATCTATAAACCTTCCCTGGGGACATGTAAAGTCCCAAACAATATTTTGGCCCGATCGAAAATCTGTTGTGACGTTTATTGGATAAAAACAAACAAACACCGGCACCCGCCCAGACAAGCAAAGTATATTTAGATATATATATTGACTCTGGTTGTAATGTTGAAACTAAGTGAACATTTAAACCAGCTAAGCACATATTAGAATGCATCAACCTTAAATGCATATAATTGTTTGTACTTTAGCGTCCCAAAAAAATCACAAAATAGTATAATTTTCCATGCTTAGAATATTTTAGTTTGAAGTAGTAGAACACATTAGTTTAGACAACTTATCGTATTATTTTACTTTTAAAAATATATTTTTTTTATGTTGTTAGCTAGTTTTTATTTGATGTTGTTAGCTAGTTTTTATTGAGACACTTAGGGCTAATTTCTATTTTTGACGAAACAATTGCAATTGTTTTCTTTGGTTTAAATTGCTATGACTGTCCTGTATCAAGTTTATTTAGTTCTCAACATTTTTTTTAAGGTATTTTCATTCTATTGAATATATACATGAAGAGTGTACATGCATGTATGAGTGGAACTGCATACCATTGAATCCAGGGTTACGGTTCAGGGAGTACCAAATTCAATCCCAGGGTATATAGACCAGTACTAAAACTGGTTCTTACCAGATTATGTAACTTCAGTCAAATTAGTGCTTTACTGTAAAATCATGACCGAGAAATTGCGAAAAAAAATGTATGTCCCAAATAATTCAGCTAATGCCTCCTTATAGTTTCTTTATGGACTATTATCTCCCACACATGGATTTCAGTTCGAAGTATAGCATTTTGTATAATAGTTTTTTGAGCTACATATTTACAAGAAAAAGGTGTTTTATTCAATGTATATATTATCCTATAAAGGCTGGGGGCCTGAATCTTAGTAAAGCCTTAGGGGTGTGGGGGGGGGTGGCCCCCACTATGAAGAAGACCTTGATGTCAAGGTATGAAGTTGCAATATATGTTTGTAACCCAATTTTTCAAGGCTAGCTCATTAAAAAAAATCAGACCGCTGAAGAGGTCTGAAAATCGTAAAAAAATTGTTTTTGACAAATTGTAACAGGTGACATATTTCGACCGTCCTGAGCCCTAGCCTAACAAATGTTTAGGCAATTGGGTAAAAAAATTAACGTGCTAGGGCAAAAAAAAATAGGGTTAAGAAACCTAAAATTTTCTGAAAATCCTTTGAACAAAAAGCGCAAATAGACTGAAATTTGAGTCTGGTATTTAATAAATAGCAATTAGAATTTTTTATGTAAAACCGGTTCGGAGTTTGGGCATCCGTATTCTCATCAAATTAAGGTACAGTAAAACCCTTAATAACGAATACATCGAAAGAATTCATCAAATGTCGTATTCTTCACTTTCTGATAATGGAATGTTGCAGATATTTAGTTTTTTAATTAAATGATTATATGGAACTCTTTAAAACTGTTCCTGCTAATTCATGGCTATTTATTTATTTTCGTAAATACTGAAATTTACGTAATATAGTATAAAACTCATTGAAAAATTGTCAAGACGACATTTGATAAATTCTTTCGATGTATTCGTTAATAAGGGTTTCACTGTATTAAGTCCAACATCAAGTTTTGAGTGAAATCACAAATATTTTGTTAAAGGGAGTATTCGCGAAAAATGGAAGGGGGTATAGGCTCACGGCGAAAAATAAGCGCGTTTGATCGCTACTAATCTTACTTCTATCTGTTGCTTCTAAGAGGAGAAAATTGTTAAACACGACTCATACTGAAGAACGTATTTTCTCCTTATAGACACAACAGATAGAAGTAAGATTAGTAGTGATCAAAAATGCTTATTTTTCGCCTATAATACCCAGTTTTACTTTTCGCGAACACTCCCTTTAAATGTTAAAATCGTTTCTGTTTCTCCACTTACCGACAATTAAATTTGCTGTCAGGCACAAAGTAGTAAAATATGAAAATATGTGGATTTATCTACGCTTAAAATACACCTGTTCCAGATATAAATAGCAGTTTAAATCCTTTTCATATAGGATTCAGTTAGACCAATTTAACTCTGTGCACTGTATGTGTTGATTAAACGTTATTGTTAATAATATTTATATGATAATTATCAATCATTTTAGAAATTCCAGATCTTATCAGTTTCAGGTTTAAAATATTCACCTTTTTTCAATTTTTAATACATTTTTGAACTCCTTGCAGTTAGATTGAAAAAGTTTTTATTGTCTCACTCCGTGTTTTGGTGAAAGATAACCCAGATTCGTAATTGTAGATAAAGTGAGTCTTTAAAATTTAAAATTTTTTTTGTTTTTTTTTGAGCTTCAGTAACAATTTTGTTCAGTCACGGACCTTAAATTTTCAACTCCAGAACATTTAATTTCAAGAAAGTTTAAAATATAAGAAATAAATAAATACAATAAAATGTAAACATTCACTTCTCCTCATGGTTCTTTTCTAATTGCGAGTAATAAAAAATGTCGATATTCCCCGTATTTTGAACAAAATAATAAAGGGGATCAAATTGAATCTCCCCTCCTTGAGGAATATAGAAACAAAACAACAAATTAAAAATTCGTTATTTTAAGTTTCCACATTGTTGAAAATTTTCAGCATAGAGTATACTCACAAAATTACCCCCCCCCCCCTCCCTCTTTTTAAAAGGACTAGATGCCCCTGTTTTCTGGTTCCTTTGTGTTATATACGTTTAATATCCGCTGTTCTTTAACCTCTATCAATAGACTTTACATATTCTACACAAATCAAGCTTTACGTGAAAAGAAAATTGTTTTATTATTTAATTTATTTATTTTGAGACACAGTTCATCCCATATTAATTTGTTAACATTTAAACTTTTGAATGATAAACCTTTCCGAAGTTTAGGAATTGAAGCTACGTCGCTAAACTACTCATTGTCTTGACTTTAGAACCCATTTTCATTTATTAAATGCAGATTTTTTGTATTTGCTATTTATATAATACATGTTGGTTTGCCTATATTCTTTAAATTATAAAGTTTTTACATTCTTTTACGCTATTAACGGATTCTGAATCAGAAATGAAAATATGTCGACACAGACACGATGTACTTTGTTCTAGTCCTGTATCTCCCTTATATATATATTCTGTATTCACCTTCTATATATTCTGCATCCACCTTCTATATATTCTGTATCCGTGTTCTATATATCATGTATCCACCTTCTGTATATTATGTAACCACCTTCTATATATTCTTCCCCCTTCTATATATTCTGTATCCCCTTCTATATATTCTGTATCCACCTTTAATATATTCTGTATCCACCTTCTATATATTCTGTATTCACCTTCTATATATTCTGCATCCACCTTCTATATATTCTGTATCCGTGTTCTATATATCATGTATCCACCCTCTATATATTCTGTATCCACCTTGTATATATTCTGTATCCCCCTTCTATATTTTCTGTATCCACCTTGTATATATTCTGTATCCCCCTTCTATATATTCTGTATCCACCTTCTATATATTCTGTATCCCCCTTCTATATTTTCTGTATCCCCCTTCTATTTATTCTGTATCCCCTTCTATATATTCTGTATCCACCTTCAATATATTCTGTATACCCCTTCTATATATTCTGTATCCACCTTCTATATGTTCTGTATCCATGTATTCTGTTCTATATATTCTTTATCTCCCTTCTATATATATATATATTTTGTATCCACCTTTATATATATTCTGTATACCCCTTCTGTATATTCTGTATCCACCTTCTATATATTCTGTATCCACCTTCTATATATTCTGTATCCACCTTCTATATATTCTGTATCCACCTTCTATATATTCTGTATCCACCTTCTATATATTCTGTATCCACCCTCTATATACTCTGTATCCCCTTCTATAAATTCTGTATCTTCCTTTTATATATATATTTTGTATCCACCTTCTATATATTCTGTATCCCCCTTGTATATATTCTGTATCCACCTTCTATATATTCTGTATCCCCCTTCTATATTTTCTGTATCCCCCTTATATTTATTCTGTATCCCCTTCTATATATTCTGTATCCGCCTTCTATATATATATATATTTTGTATCCACCTTCTATATATATATTCTGTAAACCCCTTCTATATATTCTGTATCCTCCCTTCTATATATTCTGTATCCACCTTCTATATATTCTGTTTCTTCCTTCTATATATTCTGTATCTCCCTTCTATATAAATTCTGTATCCACCTTCTATATATTCTGTATCCTCCCTTCTATATATCCTGTATCCACCTTCTATATATTCTGTATCCACCTTCTATATATTCTGAATCCACCTTCTATACATCCTTCTATATATCCTGTATCCGGAAAATGTTTAAATTTAAGTTTTCTGTCTCAACTCTGCACATAAACTTCATTTAATCAAATTAACTTTGGTCTACTGATACATTTTTTAACTAGAATATTTTCAACCTATTTTTATTCTTCATACTTCATGATTCTTCTTAAATCTTCTTATTTTTTATTTTTCAGTTTTAATTCTATATCGTGTTGTTAAGGATTTAAATGTAAAAGTAAATGTTTGTTACAGAAAATTATACAGAAAATATCTGAGAACTAGCTTGGAAATCCAGCTATGCCTGGAATCTAGACTTTCTCGAAAATATTTACCCCACTCAAATTAAACATTTTAAACCAAGTTAAGAACATTTAATTACATGTTATAACGAGTTCCTATGTCAAAATTTTAGACAAATCAGTCAATGGGTTCCTGAGACACTATCAGATATAAAACAAACAAACAGAGATTACTACTTAATATATATAGATACTAGTAATACAGGGAATACAGAACCTTTTGAAGAAACTATTGGAGAGATTGACTAAGACTTGTTTTGGTATAGAGATTATATATGTTGAATTAACATATATAATCTCTATTAACATTGAAGAATCTGTTTGAGAGATTTGATACAGAATTGTTTAGGTTTAGAGATTAGAAATGGTAAAATTCAAGAACCTGCTTGAGAGATTAAATCTCCGAGCTGTGGCTAAGAAATCCACCATAGACAGTCGACACTCTTCAGTAGGAAGGTAAAATGTTTACGCAGCGGCCAGTCTGTGTTACTCGCGAATGCCGCAATGAATTATAAGACAGAGAGAGCCAGTTAAAGCCGCGGCGATCGGCCCCTAGCCTGTCCTAGCCGCAGCGCGCGGCCCAGAAAGTGTCTAAACCTAACCTAACTCTAAATATATAATAATCTCTCTCTTCTGACAATTTATTGCGGCATTCGCGAGTAAAAGAGTTTTGCCGCTACCAAATATTTATGGTTTATCAGGCTATAAAGGGACTGCATAACCGTAATTCTAAGTGAACCTTCATGCAAAGAAGGCACTGCTGACTTACAAAGGTACGATTAAAAGCGTTGTATGATCAAGTATGAATTAGATATCAATGTTTATAATTTTGGAAACTGATTATTTTCAATTGTGGTTTTCTACAAAGTGACTTGTGCATTTCAGCCGTGTTTTTTGTTTCTGTTTGATAAATCTGTTTTCTGTTTCTGTTTGAGTAATCATTCCACATTTATGTGGTATGTTTCCCCAGTGTCTCTCCTTTCTTGCTCCCGTCACCTTAATACCTTAAGGTTAGGTTTTGGGAATGGGAATTAATTCTAGTAAACGATAAAATTCAAAAATAGTTTTAAGTCTTTAGAGAGTCTGTAAACGTTATTTTTATCTTAAATGAAATATAAGCTTTGCGTGATTAAGTATGAATTAGATGTCCATGGTTTTGTTTTTAAAAACTGTTTATTTTCATTTCTGGTTTCTCTACAAACATGACTTGTGCATTTCTTGCTTCAGAAACAATGGATAAATTATCAGAAAATTCCACATTATTGATCAGAGGTTTCATGGGTACCGTTGTGAATCAATCGGACCATGTCCCTCTTTAATTGGAGGGTCACTATAAATTACGAGGACGATCCCTTTGATAAATATGTTTATTCTACTCAGAAGACCAACAGATGCTTGGAGCACCTTGGAGAGACTTATCAAGGTAAGGATTAATATAATTAATATTTTTACAAATATAATTATTCTGATTAGAAGCTAAAAATATCAAATGTTCCTAAAAGTCAAAAAAAGAGCTTAAGTGATTATTATTACAGTAAAAGTAAAAATGCAAAGAACGATAAAAACCGAAAATGTTTAAATAAAAGGAATATTTTATTATGCATTGATATAAAGGTAGTCGTAATTACTTATTTAAATGACTAAAATAGTTGCAAATAAAGATAATAAAACCTATGAAGGCTTTTAAAAACTCTAAAGGAAAAGAGGGAATACAATAAATGAGTACTATCACCAATTCTAATTTTCTCATCCCTATATCCTTGCAACTTTTTTGAAATTGTAATCTTCCACTATTTAATCTAACAGAATTGATTTGAAATATCGAAGGTCTACGATAACGGGTTCCTTGATCCTGAGATTCACGATACAAAAGTTCTGACTTTGGGTGTACTGATTTTTAATCTTAAATCTGTGCAGCGTCAGCGCTCCGTCGAATTTAATCCAATTCAAAGTAAACCTTAGACGCTAAAGACCCCTTGAATCCTTTCCTGTTTATTAATTCATTTATTTTAAAAGTTTACGTTGTGGATTCACAAAACAAAAGTTCTGACGTTTTTACCACATAATTAAGCACTAACTTCTTGCCCCCGTCATCTTTATACACTAATAGCTAAAATGCCCGGCAAATTGCCCGTGGAATAAAAAATTGAAAAAATATTCGATTAAAAAATAGATTTTGAAGAAAAAAATTTCGAAATTGGTTTAGCTTTTGTTACTCCCAGAGTACCCGTGAGTTTCCTCGACAAATTTAGCCAATTCGGTTCAGCCGTTTATCAAGCTATAGCTTACATATAAATATATATATATAAGCGAAGAGCTTTAATTCTTACATAAAAAAAAAAAAATTTACCTTATTTTTCTTTTTCTACTGGTTGAATTCAAAATTTTTATTAATTCTAAATTTGAATCTGTTGTAATGTGTAGCTATTTCTAGCGTGGACTACCTGAGGATGTAGTTGCCTGGAGACAAGATCCAGAAGTACAGAAGAGTATTCTTCAGCTTCCAGGAGTTGATATAGGTAGGGCTGCAAACATTACATTTAAAGGGATTGTTCGCGAAAAATGAAAGGGGGTATAGGCTTAATACGATAAAAAAGCGCTTTTGATCGCCACTAATCTTACTTCTATCTGTTGCGTCTATAAGGAGAAAATTGTTAAAGACGTCTCATACCGAATAACATGGCGTCCATACAAATTGAGAAAATTGCAACATACGACTTAGACCGTAAAAAAATCAATTTAATTTCAAACAAATCATTCAGATATTACAACCTATAGTCATCGATTATCTTTCGCGACATTTATTATAGTTGATTTTTCATAATATGTTTTAATTGTTATGATCTGGGAGTTACTTATAAAAACGTTTATTCCTGTTTCGAGGATTTTTGGTAATGAAGGCGACATTTTCATATTTTCCAGGAATGTTCGAAAACAAGTTGTAAGCTAAATATTATTTTAAAAAACAAAATCAAAACTAGTATGAAATATTAAATATATACAAATGTGGCGAAAGATATAATCGATGACTATAGGTTGTAATATCTGAATGATTTTTTTGATATTAATTTGATTTTTTTACGGTCTAAGTCGTATGTTCCAACTTCCTCAATTTGTATGGGCGCTACGCTCTTCGGTATGAGACGTCTTTATCAATTTTCTCCTTATAGACGCAACAGATAGAAGTAAGATGAGTAGCGATCAAAGGCGCTTTTTTATCGCATTAAGCCTATACCCCCTTTCATTTTTCGCGAACACTCCCTTTAAAGGGAGTGTATGGCTGGACATGGTAGTTGAACTAAGTATGAGTATTATAGAGAAACTTTTGAGGATTCATTTGAGACCTATGAGACGTCATTACGGTGAATTTGTTCAGCAAGAGCGAAAATTTAATCTTTTAAATCCTCATAGATTTTTCATTTTGGTGGAATGATTTTGAAAATCTTTTTTTTGTTAATTATTCAATGACGACCACGAAAAACGTAACACAATTTAACAGTTTAACTATTTAGTTGTTTAGGAACAGTTAGTGGTTTCTGTAATTTCTCATTATTAACAAAATTTTGCTTAGATTTCTTGGAATTTTTATTGAAAAGATGACATTTGAAGAATTTGAACAAATCTGCGAACAAACTCAGAAAAAAAAAGAAATTCAATATAATGAGGAAAAAGAAATAATTGATTCCAACATTGATGTATTGTCAAATGTCCAGTAAGACATAAGTTTCTAAACATGTAATTAGTATAACCCTATAAANTCTGAAGCTAAGTATAGACCGATAACTTTAATAGTTTGGGTGCTAAGGAGGGTGGAAAAAGATGCCTAAAAAAGGGTAAAAAAATGAAAAAATATTTTTTTGTTTTAAACAAATATGACAATGCAGAGTACCCTTGAAACTTGAAATCTGATTAATAAATTGAAAGATTTTTCTAGGTTTAAAGGTGTTCTGATAATTCTTTTTTGTTTTCATGCATAATAGTTGCGCAAGTCAATTTGTAGAAAAGTCGGAATGGAAAATAATAGTTTTCAAAAAAAACATGATATATTATTCCTACTTAATCAGACAAATTAATCGGGCCTGGCCATCTCTTTGTATTGAGGGTACATTAAATTACGCTGACAATCCTTTTAAGAATTCAAGTGGCTCCAGAAAATTATAAAATTTCTATATAAAACATTTCAAAATTGTATTCTCTATAGGTTTTTTATTTATTACATTATGCAACATTTTAACTCCGAAAGAATATTGTGCAGACTTGAACGGAGAAAATGAAATGTTAAAAACTCATTCAAGTCTATGTTTTGTGTATCTTTAGTTAGAGTCAAAAAACTTTGAAAGTGGATCCAAAGTCTTTGCCACAAACTAAAATTTTATAATCCCGATATCTTCGGAACATTTGGTGTAAACCTTTGATATTTCAAAAACAGATTTCATAGTTTGAATTACCAAAGGTTTACGATTTTTGCCCAACACTAGATAGAGGAGCAGGAGGAGGAGGAGGTGGTGGAGAAGGAGGATCAGAAAGCGAAGAAGGAGAGAATGAAACAGATGGAACAAAGGAGAAAGTGGACGAAGGAAAAGAAGAAATAAAACGATTAGGATCTGATGGAGGATTTGTAAACCTATCCTGTAATCTATTTCAAGAACAAATGAATATTCCAAGATATCTTCACAGGTATTTGGAAATATTAATTAAGTTTTTTTTCAACAATTGAAGTCAACTTCCATACCTTTACATATATTTTACATACTATAATATAAAGGGATTGAGTCTTTGCCACAAACCCAAATGCTTATATCATTCAACCAGATGGTGTAAACCTTTGATATTTCAAACTTAGATTATTTGATCTAACAAAATTCAAAATTTGAAATATCTAAGGTTTTCGACTTTATGTTGCAAAGATATAGGGATTAGAAAATCAGAGTTTGCGGGAAGGACTAAATTCCTTTTATTGGCTTAGCTTATCATCATGACAGTTAAGAGACGGCTTGAAGATCGTCTATTGACAGTTAAGAGACGGCTTGAAGATCGTCTATTGAAAGTTAAGAGACGGCTTGAAGATCGTCTATTGAAAGTTAAGAGACGGCTTGAAGATCGTCTATTGAAAGTTAAGAGACGACTTAAAGATCTCTATTGACAGTAAAGAGACGAATTTAAGATCGTCTATTAATAGTTAAGAGACGGCTTGAAGATCGTCTATTGAAAGTTAAAAGACGGCTTGAAGATCGTCTATTGAAAGTTAAGAGACGACTTAAAGATCTCTATTGACAGTAAAGAGACGAATTTAAGATCGTCTATTAATAGCTAAGAGACGACTTGAAGATCGTCTATAATCTTTGACCTTCAAGCCGACTCTCAACTGTCTTATTTCGTGGAACACCTTGTATTTAAAATATAAATATGACGGCAGCATAATATTGTTTAGATCTAGTGATTTCTCTGATATGATTTGTGTGACCCCCCTGCAGCTTGCTGTAATAGAGAGTAAAGTAGATGTCGTCCTTGCTCTACTCCTTGGATTAACTGAGGATCAGCTCTACCGAGCAGTTACAACTCAAGCATCTATTATCCGCAAGGTTTAGTATTTATCAAGGAAGAGTACCAGGGACCGAATTTAATGAATTTGAGGGGTCGCTGAACTGCCTGCCGCTGGCTCGGATTTGAATCACCTATTCAAATCCTTCCTGATTCTTGAACTTTGAATCGGTGGTTCAATTTTTAATCAGCAGTGACGTAGCTCAGATTCATTAGATTCGGTACCAGGAGCCGCTAAGGTCACTTATAAGTATAGAATAATACTAATATTTTAGCTTGGGAAGTTTCTCTAAATACACTGTAATGATACAGGGTGTCCCAATAAACATGGGAATTCAGTGACGATTTTGACCTTTGTGTGACCTTTGGTTTTACCTCACCAACCCACTTTTTTTGCAGACCTAGACATATCCATTTCAAAAATGCAAGGCTTAAGTTTAAAAGGAGATATTAGCAAAATACTGCCCAAGTTTTGTTTGAGAGCGTCCACATCTTGATGTGCAGTTCACACAATTACAATTACAGTCCCTTTAATATAAAGTTTATCTTGTAGGATGAGAATTCAACTCCAGCTCCTGTTGGTAAGAAATCCTTTGCGGAAACCAGGAAATTTTTCTCTGTGTCAACTATCTCCGGGTCCAGGGTTGAGATGGAACCAAGGTCGGAGCAGCAGCTGGACTGGAAGGATACGAAGGAGTGGACAACCCTACATCTAGCTGTTATGTACGACATCGAGTGTTTAAAGGTCTGTTACGTTGTAAAACTAAAGAACCGCTCATAAACCTATTTGTTGTACTGTCTCGTTTTGTCTTATACAGTTTATATATGGCTCTAGCATCTTAAAGTCGACCCGGTATTTTAATTAACCGGAGTTTAAAGTGATTTGGTGTACCGTCCCGTTTTTCCTTCTAATGTTGGTATGTGTACTGTACAGCTTGCTTTAGCTGGTTTAAATTCCTTGTATAGTAACTGCCCTACTCCAATTAATCCTTCTAGATCAGTACCAATACAGGTTTAACCTTCCGTATCTGTTTACAAGATACAACTCAATCTCGAACTCCGGGTTCCTCAATAATACTTTTGTCAATATCAATCCGGATACGACTCTATCTATATTCTCAGATATCTCTTTTACAAGATGCAACTCAATCTCGTCCTCGCATGTCCGATCAATAATACTCAATCTCTATCAATCCTGATAAGATGCTGTTGTATTCTTTAGTATGTATCACTCAGATACAACTATACCTCTCTATAATACTTTGGTATGTATCGCTCAGATACTAATAGCTCTCTATAATACTTTAGTATGTATCGCTCAGATACAACTACCTCTCTATAATACTTTAGTATGTATCACTCAGATACTACTAGCTCTCATAATACTTTATTTTGTATCGCTCAGATACTACTTAGCTCACTGTATTCTTTTGTAACTGTCTTACAAGATACAAATCAAATCAGTGACCCGTCTCGTTCGCTACGCGAGGACATATTGCTCTAACACCGTAATCAAGTAGAGTATTATTCCAACTGACATATATTTTGAGTTCTATGATACAGGTTAAGTTAATGAATGTAATTACAAGTTATACGCCATTATCTACAAACGTAGTTAGATTAATCCCAATACAGATTTACGTAGTTATTTACAAGCGTATAGTTAGGTTTACAGACAATGTACAACGTAATTTATCTAGGTGTGTTCAGGTTTATAAATATTGGGTTGGCTACGATATTTATTACGAAACACTCGTTTTAAACCTTAACTTTCTATTCCCCAACTAATCCCTAAATTCCTATACCTCGGATGAAACCTTTGGTGTATAAAAGAATTGAGTGTTTACCTAACACTTCAAATTTCAAATCCTTATATCTTTGCAACCCAGGGTTGTTGACCTTAAATATTTTTATTCTCTAATATCAAATAATCTAAGTTTGAATTATCTAAGGTTTACACCATCAGGTTGCAAAGATATAGGGATTAAAAAATTTGAGCTTGCGGCAAAGCACAATTCCTTTTTGTATTTCAAACCTTGACTTTTACAGTTTGAACCATTAAAGTTTGAAAATATGTTGAGTTTGAATTTGATGTAAATTAGTTGTTTGTATTTTTTATCATTGAAAACCAGTCATATTTTTATATTTTCATCCTTTCAAATACAATATATAAACTTTGATTTTGCTTCTTAAAATTATCAAGAATTGGGACCGGACTTCTATTGAGATATTAATTAGCTTTTCTAAGAATTGATTATTTTAAAAATTAATTGATTAAAGAGAACTCTAGACTGAACATTATTCATTAAAGTAAAACCGTGTTCATAAATTTTAAGTAACTTTCCATTCATAGAGACTGCAGGCAATTCCGATTTACAAGCTTTTTCTGGTCAATAATAATATTCATGTCAATTTTTTTCATGTCTTTTTAATTGATTTTTTTCAATTGTGGTTTTTCTTCAAATTTATCCGCGGATTTTTGCTGCAAAAACAATGGAGGAAAGTGTTTTAAGCTAGATAATGACAATATTGTCCACAGTAATAGTCAAAGAAGGTTTAAAGGGCACCGTTGTAAATATAGCATTCGCCTCTTTTTTTTCATTCATTTGAAATTACGGTGCGAAATCGCTATTTTATTGTATACCCTTAATCCATATTGATAAATCTCTGTATCCATTGAGGACACTTTTGATTTTCTTCTTAATCCTCTATTTTGGTTATCACTGCTGGGTTCCGACCAATGAGAACTCTCACATTGATTGCGCTCAAAACTTCTCGGCTTTAATCCTAATGGAAATACAGTTAACTTTGATGGATATGTTGTCTAGGTTCTTCTCTACTTACTGGAGAAGGAAGGGTCACCAGCAAGAGTTGAAGAAGTTTTAGACGCCAGGAACTCAAAGGGAAGGTAGGTATAGGACTATAGACGCCAGGAACTCAAAGGGAAGGTAGGTATATGACTACAGACTCCAGGAACTCAAAGGGAAGGTAGGTATAGAGGACTATAGACGCCAGGAACTCAAAGGGAAGGTAGGTATAGAGGACTATAGACGCCAGGAACTCAAAGGGAAGGTAGGTATATAGAGGACTATAGACGGCAGGAACTCTAAGGGAAGGTAGGTATAGAGGACTGTAGACGCCAGGAACTCTATGGGAAGGTAAGTATAGAACGAAAGACTCCAGGAACTCAAAGAAAGGTGTGTAGAAACTAAATCTATAGACTTCAGTTACTTAAAGGGAAGGAAAGAAATGATTCCAAAATCTCAATCGTAAACTGAATATTCTACCCTATATATTTATTGTATACGTATTAAAAATGTATTTAGGACTGTTTTACATCTAGCAGCTAGATCTCCCATATCATCTACCAGTACCAGACTTCTTCTAGATCTAGGGGTTCAGGTATCTTTCATACATTTAATGCCTCTCATACCTTTCTCATATGTATACCTTTTATACATAATACCTTTCATACCTTTACATTTCATACTTTTGATACATTGCACACCTTTCTTACCAACCATACCTTTCTCATATGTATACCTTTCATACATAATGCCTTGCATACCTTTCTTACCATTCATACCATTCATACTTTTCATACCTTTCATACCTTTCATGCCTTTCATACCTTTCTCATATGTATACCTTTAATACATAATAACTTTTATACCTTTACCTTTCATACTTTTAATACCTTGGATACCTTTCTTACCAGTCATACCTTTCATACTTTTCATACTTTTCATACTTTTAATACCTTTCATACCTTTCATACCTTTCATACCTTTCATACCTTTCATACCTTTCATATTACCTTTCATACCTTTCATACTTTTCATACCTTCCTACCGCTCATACCTTACTTACTTTTCATAACTTTCATACCTTTCATCCCTTTCATACCTTTCATAACTTTCATACCTTTCATCCCTTTCATACCTTTCATAACTTTCATACATTTTATATCTTTCGTACCTTTCATACCTTTCATAGCTCTCACACCTTTCATACTTTCCATATCTATACTTTCATACTTTTCATACCTTTAATACCTTTCATGCCTATACTTTTAATACTTTTAATAACTTTCATACCTTTAATACCTTTCATACCTTTAATACCTTTCATACTTTTTATACCTTCCATACCTTTCATACACTTAACACCTTTCACACTTTCCATACATGTACTTTTAATACTTTTCATACCTGCCTATATTTCATACCTTACATACTTTTCATAACTTTAATACCTTTCATACCTTTCATTCTTTTCATAACTTTCATATCTGTTGTACCTTTGATGGAAATAAAAATGTTTGTAAACCTGTACACAGTACAGATGAGTACGGTTTAACTCCTCTACATGTGCTTAAGTATATTTATGTACACTGTACAGGTTCAAAGTACAGATGAGTACGGTTTAATTAACTCCTCTACATATGGCTGAGTATATTTATGTACACTGTACAGGTTGATTGTACAGATGAGTACGGTTTTATTAACTCCTTTACATATGGCTGAGTATATTTATGTACACTGTACAGGTTGATAGTACAGGTAAGTACGGTTTAATTAACTCCTCTACATATAGCTGAGTATATTTATGTACACTGTATACAGGTTCATAGTACAGGTTGATAGTACGGATGAGTACAGTTTAACTCCTCTACATATGGCCGAGTATATTTATGTACACTGTACAGGTTGAAATGATAGTACAGATGAGTACGGTTTAACTCCTCTACATGTGGCCAAGTATATTTATGTACACTGTACAGGTTGAAATGATAGTACAGATGAGTACGGTTTAACTCCTCTACATGTGGCCGAGTATATTTATGCACACTGTACAGGTTGATTGTACAGATGAGTACGGTTTAACTCCTCTACATATGGCAGTAAAGTTTGGAGTTTTGGATACTGTTCGAATATTACTTCAGCAGGGAGGAGACAAGAGCAAGTACGTTTTGTTTCAAACCTTTAAAAATTCTACATTTATAAAAAAATGTTAAAACTAAAAAAATAACAAACCAAATTTCTCTACAGTTGTAAAAAATGCAAACAATTTTACGGAAAAATCTTTAAAAATACCAAACCTATACAAATCTGGAATAGGAAGATTTTCAGCAAATTGTCTTAACATTGAAATGGGTCTGTGTACAAAGCAAAAATTCTGTGTTTAATAATCATTTGGACTTAAATAAGCATAACTTAAGTCTAACAGTCGTCTTCCTATTCTACAGTTTTATGAGTCTCTCTGTAAATGAATATTTCTATATTTTTTTGTATGTCTAGTGGAGGGTTGGATATAAACGGAAGGAGTCTTCTTCATCATTCATCATCAGTAGAGATAACTAGGTTTATAGATATATACAGATATTGATACATAACAATAACAAGGACAAAACTAGAGATATCTAGGTTTATAGATATATACAGATATTGATACATAACAATGATAAGGACAAAACTAGAGATAACTAGGTTTATGGACATATGCAGATATTGATACATAACAATAATAAGGACAAAACTAGAGATAACTAGGTTTATAGACATATACAGATATTGATACATAACAATAATAAAGACAAAACTAGAGATAACTAGGTTTATAGACATATACAGATATTGATACATAACAATAATAAGGACAAAACTAGAGATAACTAGGTTTATAGACATATACAGATATTGATATATAACAATAACAAGGACAAAACTAGAGATAACTAGGTTTAAAGATATATACAGATATTGATACATAACAATAACAAGGACAAAACTAGAGATAACTAGGTTTATAGACATATACAGATATTGAGACATAACAATAATAAAGACAAAACTAGAGATAACTAGGTTTAACGACATATACAGATATTGAGACTTAACAATAACAAGGAAAAACCACCCATATTATTAAAATGAAGACATTAGACTAATATGACACTAAAAATTCAAGTTGGAGATAAAAATATCATGCTTGACAAAAAAGGGATGTGGAGAGGTTTATATAAGGGGGGGGGGGTAAATTTCAGCATTAGGAGAAATGTGGAGAAATTGGTGTGAAAAGTAAAAAAAGAGTAGCTACAAAGTCGTACTAGTAATATTGTAATTGTAAATTAATCATAAATTAAATTTTAGATATTTACTCAGGCGAGGATTCTCTCCAGATCTAAGCACATTAAAATATCAGACTAGGTTAGTTATAATAAAACTAAAAATCACACTAGGTTTTTTACTATTTAAAACTAAATATCAGACTGGATTTTATTTAAACCTAAATATCAGACTAGGTTTGTTATTATTTTAAGCTAAATATCAGACTAGATTTTTTATTATTTAAAACTAAATATTAGACTAGGTTCTTATTATTTAAAACTTAATATCAGACTGGATTTTTTCTAAACTTAAATATCAGACTAGGTTTGTTATTATTTAAAACAAAATATTAGACTAGGTTTTTTAATATTTAAAACTAAATATTAAACTAGGTTTCTTATTATTCAAAGCTAAATATCAGACTAGGTTTGGTATTATTTAAAACTTACTATCAGACTAGGTCTTTTATATATCTAAAACTAAATATCAGACTAGGTTTTTTTATTATTTAAAACTAGTCGAGACTAGGTTTTTTATTTTCTAAAACTAAATATCAGACTAGGTTTTTTATTTATCAAAACTAAATATCAGATTAGGTTGTTATTATCTAAAACTAAATATCAGACTAGGTTTCTTATTTATCAAAACTAAATATCAGATTAGGTTGTTATTATCTAAAACTAAATATCAGACTAGGTTTGTCATTATTTAAAGCTAAATATCAGACTAGGTTTGTCATTATTTAAAACTAAATATAAAATTGGGTTTTTTATAATCAAACTAAATTTAACATTAAAACAGAATTTGTCTGCTAAAACTGAAACTTCATCATTTAGGCCTTAGTTTCATTTTCATGGAACTGTAAGTTCCAGTGAACCTTCATGGAAAGATGGCAATGTAAGATTCATAATGATACCAGATTTATAATGATACCAGATTTATAATGATACCAGATTTATAATGATACCAGATAAAAGGGTTTTCTGATTAACTATGAATTAAATATCACTGTTTATAATTTGGAAAACTGATTATTTTCTATCGTGGTTTCTCTACAAAAGTGACTTGCGCATTTCTACTGCAGAAAAACATATTGGAATTATCAGAATTAGACACTTTTCAACCTAGAAAAAAGGCAATATCTTCCATATTATAGGTTTAAAAGGGGCCTGGGGTGTAATGATAGGGCAGATACAGTAGGATAGAAAGAAAGAGTTTAATTTTCATTTCATTCATTGCTTAAAAATATAATTCAAAATTTTGCATTTTTCCATTTAATATTTTGATACTTCTCAGCTTAATGTTAGCCTTCCCCACCCATACTTTCCATAATATTTTTTTTTTCATGCTTCTTTCCCTTTTCTTACATCTTACCTCTTCCCATACTCCCCCTCATTTTCCGCAGCTCCCCAGCGCTTTAGGGGGGGAGGCGTATTTTTTAGGGATGAAGTATTGCTAAAGGTTTACCCCTCTATCTGCCCTCGTTCTAAATTGTTCTAACAACTTACTATTATTCCTTCCCCGCCGCCCCATGAAAATAATAGGCTTTTGTAAATGTTTTTCTTTTCAATAAAAGTTTTTTAAAGTGTTAGTAAAGTTCCATAGAATTTTTAGAGAATCTTACATATCTTACATTATTAGATATTCTGGTAAAATCACGAAACCTCTCTATGTTTTGGTTTAATTTAAATACCTAATGACAAAAACACAGAACTTACTCTTATAAACTGTTAATAATTATAAATATAAACAGTTCTATAAATAATTATATGTTAAAATCTTGTTAAAAGAACTGTAAGTTATATTTAAATTAACCTTCCACTTAAAGATAACAATACCCATTTCACAATGCGTATCCTTCAAATTAACATTTGTAAGAAGGTATTCTCCTTTTTTCTGGGTTTAACATTGTTTAAGTCTGGCAATTCCATAATGCTGCCCTGCAGTAGAAATGCGCAAGTTTCTTATGTAGAGATTATACAATTATTGAATTTATAAACTTTAATATAATTCATACTTGAACAGCAAAGCTCTAAAGGGTAGCGTTAAAAAATCTGACATTGCTATCTTTGTATTAAAAATCTGACTTTGCTATCTTTGTATTAAAAATCTGACATTGCTATCTTTGTATTATAAATCTGACATTGCTATCTTTGTATTGAAAATCTGACATTGCTATCTTTGTATTATAAATCTGACATTGCTATCTTTGTATTGAAAATCTGACATTGCTATCTTTGTATTATATAAATCTGACATTGCTATCTTTGTATTAAAAATCTGACATTGGTATCTTTGTATTGAAAATCTGACATTGCTATCTTTGTATTGAAAATCTGACATTGCTATCTTCGTATTGAAAATCTGACATTGGTATCTTTGTATTGAAAATCACTTGAAACTATGCTAACAGTCCCTTTAACCCTGTTTGTTTTGTGTTCAGGAAGGGAGGAATTGACAATGTAAGATTGTTTCTGGACGACACTTTTATCCGGAGAGACAACCTTCTCATTCTAGACTTCTCCTTGGCCATGGAACAGGTAATTAAAGATATTTCAAGCATATATATCCAGAAACCTAGATTAGAATCTAGTAATCTAGTTTAGAATCTAGAGTTCTAATTCAAAATTCTAGAAATCCAATCTAGAAATCTGGTTTACATTCCTAAAAATCAAGAGTTATGGAAACTAGTAAAATATCAACCTAGGAACCTGTATATTCATCTATTCTCTAGGATATATGAACCTATATATTCATCTATTCTCTAGGATATAGGAACCTATATATTCTATGCTCTATAGATATAGGAACCTATATATTTATCTATTCTTTAGGATATAGGAACCTATATATTCATCTATTCTCTAGGATAGGGATGGAGATCTTGGAACTGATGGAGAATCAGTTTTTCTCCGGAACTTTCTCTCTCATAGGAATTCAACAAACTTGCAACAAACAAAGTTTATATTTACTTGGCTAGTTACAGGATTAGGAGAGATTCATACACTCGTTGTTTAAAAAATGGACATTATGTTTGCAAAACTTAATCCATTTGATCGCAAAACAGACAATACTTTGAAATAGTATTGATAAAGTGTCTCTATATTTAAGATCACTTTAGAGAGTTTGTAAATAAATCCTAATCCCTTTCTCTCAGATTTATGGGATTTTATTCTCCGTATACATCGCTAAAATTAAGGGTTAAATCTTGTTAGATCGGAAATTATGTTGAGTTTGAATAAAAAATGTTCTTCCATGTTAAAGAAACTCTATTTTTCTTTAGTTCTTTTTATCCTCCCATAAAGTTTCTCTGTCGTAAAAACTAAACCTGAATATTCCAGTTTATCACAGGTTTTATCACATTTAATGCTTCTACAGAATAAACATATTTATAAACATATCTATTCGCTGAATTCACGAGGATTTCATTATTTGTATTTTTGGCGAGATTTTATTGTCTTGTTTTTATTGTAAAACTAAACATCTTGACAAAACAAACTATTTATGTTAAAACCAAGAAAAAATATTTGAATCAGAATCAAAAGAAACTATCAATGTAAAAATAAAGAAAAACTATTTGACTAAGAATTTAGAAAAACTATTTAGAAAAGTACATAACTCAGAGTGTAAATAAACTATATTGAGTCAAAAATCAAGAGTAACTATTTGATTCAGAATTAAAAGAAAATCTATTTGGGTCAGCATTTAAAAAACTACTTGAATTAGAAAAAAAGTAGTAAAAGCGCGTAGAGTTATAACCAACAACAATTTTTGTTTTCTTAAAAACTTTTTTATGATGATTGAAGCGCGGTTTATTCCAATTATGCATGCTTCCTAAAGAATAAGAATGCTAGGCTTTTTTTGCGCCCAGCATCTATTTGAAATTTTAATTGTAGCATTATCCTCTCTTTGTACAGTATAAAACGACAACAAAAAAGTTCGCGGATTTAAACAGTTTTGCGTGGATTTAAAATTTTTTACTTTGAGACAAATTTTGCTAATTCTTAGCATCCATAGACCTTCCCTGGAGTCATGTGAGTTGCCTCAATCATTTTAAGCTTGATCAGCCCTGCCGTTTTTACGTTTATTGGATGCAAACAAACAAACAAACAGACAAACAGCCAGACAAGCTAAATGTATATATAGATGAGGAAAAGAAGAATCGATGATGGATAAAATTGTCCAACTGTATAGTTAAATATTTTAAAGTTGCCAATGTATAGAGGTGCACTTAAAGGGAGTGTTAGCGAAAAATGAAAGGGGGTATAGGCTAAATGCGATAAAAAGCGCTTTTGATCGCCACTAATCTTACTTCTATCTGTTGCGTCTATAAGGAGAAAATTGTTAAAGACGTCTCATACCGAATAACATGGCGTCCATACAAATTGAGAAAATTTCAACATACGACTTAGACCGTAAAAAAATCAATTTAATTTCAAACAAATCATTCAGATACTACAACCTATAGTCATCGATTATCTTTCGCCACATTTATATATAGTTGATTTTTCATAATATGTTTTAATTGTTATGATCTGGGAGTTACTTATAAAAACGTTTATTCCTGTTTCGAGGATTTTTGGTAATGAAGGCGACATTTTCATATTTTCCAGGAATGTTCGAAAACAAGTTGTAAGCTAAATATTATTTAAAAAAAACAAAATAAAAACTAGTATAAAATATTTGATATATACAAATGTGGCGAAAGATAATCGATGACTATAGGTTGTAATATCTGAATGATTTGTTTGATATTAATTTGATTTTGTTACGGTCTAAGTCGTATGTTCCAACTTCCTAAATTTGTATGGGCGCTACGCTCTTCGGTATGAGACGTCTTTATCAATTTTCTCCTTATAGACGCAACAGATAGAAGTAAGATTAGTGGCGATAAAAAGCGCTTTTTTATCGCATTTAGCCTATACCCCCTTTCATTTCTCGCGAACACTCCCTTTAACTCTCTAACTTTCTAGTCCTGCTTTTAAACTTAATTCCTAGTTCGGTCCTATTTAGGAATTAAACAAATCTATAAGTAGAGAATTGAAGTGGAGACATTTTTTTTCTTTTACAAGACTTCTAAGCCTCAGCAATAAATGTACACCAAGGTTACTGAGAAACAAAGACAACGTGACCAAGCTAATATATCACTTTAAAATTATTTTGAAAAATCAACACAAAAATACGAGAGTTTAATCAAAATAAAACTCTTTCGCGGAAATTATTGTAAAGGTACAGTTTTCCTATAAAAATGTATAAATTAATCTCATCTAAAATGGGAGTGTGGAGAAAGGATTTTATACAATCGTTCAACGGACAGTAAACGTAATTCAACATGACAGTTACTGATAGATTGAAATATAACAAGGAGTAACCGACACAGATGCGAACTCAGAGGGGGACAACGGGGGCTCATCCACTCCCCCCCCCGGGATAAGTGAAATCTATGGTATTCCCAAATTCCTATATTATTTCCGTTTCTTTAACTCATTTTCTATTTTTAAAACTTGTTTACAGATGAATTTCACATTTTTGAAACTAAAAGGGACTGTAAATAAAGTTTAAGGTGATTAAAAGGGGAACATACACAGCAACAATCATGAAGATATTCGTTTTTCTGCTTTAAAAATAAATAAGTTCTGTTAATTATCAATTTTCAGATAGAAAAATAAGCATATATATTAAATAACCAATGGTTTAAAGAAACCCGTTATAAATCGGGAAACGTTCTAAAAAATATATACCTGGAAACTACGTGACAGTTCCTTTCAAAAATATGTACCTGGTAACTACGTGACAGTTCCTTTAAACTATATATACCTGGAAACTACGTGACAGTTCCTTTAAACTATATGTACCTGGAAACTACGCGACAGTTCCTTTAAACTATATGTACCTGGAAACTACGTGACAGTTCCTTTAAACTATATGTACCTGGATACTTCGTGACAGTTCCTTTAAACTATATATACCTGGAAACTACGTGACGGTTCCTTTAAACTATATATACCTGGAAACCACGTCACAGTTCCTTTAAACTAAATGTACCTGGAAACTACGCGACAGTTCCTTTAAACTATATATATATATACCTGGAAACTACGTGACAGTTCCTTTAAACTATATATACCTGGAAACTACGTGACAGTTCCTTTAAACTATATGTACCTGGATACTACGCGACAGTTCCTTTAAACTATATATATACCTGGAAACTACGTGACAGTTCCTTTAAACTATATATATACCTGGAAACTACGTGACAGTTCCTTTAAACTATATATACTTGGAAACTACGTGACAGTTCCTTTAAACTATATATACCTGGAAACTACGTCACAGTTCCTTTAAACTATAAGTTTGTTGTCTGGTTGGTAGAAAACTGCTGAGAGCTCCCCTTGCAGAATCTTTACTCTGGATGAAGTGGTTCGCCAGTAAAAGGTACTAAATTAGTTAATACTTAATTATTGGTCTAGTGGGTAAAATGTTTGTTTGATCTTCTATGCAAAGATGACAATGCCCGATTCACAACGGTTCCCTTTATCTGATCAGTAAAATGGAAGATATTGTTCTTCATGGGTTAAGAAGTGTTAAGTTTATGTTTTTTTTTAAAGTAAAAATGTTAAAGTCACACTTGTAGAGAAACCACAATTGAAATTAATCAGGTTTAAAAATTTCAAGGTGATACCGTTTTGAATCGGGCACTGCCATCTTTACATGGAGAGTTACTTGAAATTATGTTAACAGTCCCTTTAGGAAAGTTATCCATTTCTGTCGTCGAGGAATCCTGCGTCGGGCGTCTACGTCTAAGGTTTCGCTATATAACGGGAAAGGTATCCGATCAATATTAGCTGTCTAAAGAACTAAGAACTTCAAAGCTTTACCATAATAAATAATGATATAAAAAATAATCCAGAGCTGGGAAATTTAGTGTTGGATACTTAAAATCTGAATCGCTTGATCTTGATATCCACTGTAAACACTTTTAATTTGAGGTTCGATGCTTAATCTCCTCTTTCAATTATCCGCTCAAGGTACGATAACCATGTGGGATACAGATTAAATTAATCTGTAGATTAACAAAAGATTGAGATTAAGCATTGATCTGGATTCTCTGGATATCCTTAATACAAGAGTTCCCAGCTCAGGAGGGTTGCAGATAAAGCTGAGAGTCTTAGTGGAATTCCAACCCGGAGATCAAACAAGAAATAAATAAAAATATTTGCAACTAAATCAGCTCAAACATGAAAGAAACAGACAGTTTGCAAGAAGAGAAAGATAGATAGCCAGACAGAGACAGGCAATTAGATATATGGATAGATGGAGATAAATAGATAGATAGATAAATAGATAGAAACAAAGATGGATGGATAATTGTCTAGGGACTAGATATTCTGCAAGTTAAAGAATTAAAAGTTTGTTCTTGTATTCTCTCTTCTACTCTCATTATTACTCCAGATCTTGTATTCTCTCTTCTACTCTCATTATTACTCCGGAGCTGGTAACTTTTATGTTGGATTCTCATAATCCCGATTGTTTGATCTCGATATTCACTTGATCAATATTCACAATGCAAGAGTTCCAACCTTACCGATGGGATTTTTTGTGTTCGATACTCATTATCTCAATCGCTTGATCTCGATATTCCCTTTGGGCACTTTTAATTTGAAGATAAAAACTCTATCTTTCCATAACTACATATAGTTATTCCGTCCCGTGATCAAGGCTTCATTTAACCCATGACTGCAGGCACGATTAGCATCGGGATATCGAATAAAGATTAAATTAATCTGCAGATTAACAAAAGATCGAGATCTAGCATTGAACTTAATATTCACCTCAAAAGAGTTTCCAGCTCATTAACAGCTGAGAAGTGCATCCTCAGCAAGTCTTATCTTCAACAATTTATTATAAAAAATATTCTCGATTTTTACTAAAGCCCTGGAATTATACGTATTTATTTGCTACTTTTTTTGTTACTTTTATTCTCTTTATCTTTTATTAAGTACGATGTGTACCTTTGCAGGGTGGTGAGGTTTGGTTTTATGGTACAGGGTGTCCCAAAAAACATGGGAATTCAGTGACGAATTCGATATCGTCGTTGTTATGAATTAGCAGTGTAATGCCTAATTTCAAAAGCCGTAATATTATTATGTCTGCTAGAATTTATTTAATGAAAAGGATAAAGGACTGTCTAAAACGAATCCGCAAGATGAACAGTGAAGACGGAAAAGTTTACTATGTTTGTATACTGTAATTTTCTTGTTTTACTAACACAACCGTATGCATGGTCAAAACATAAACAAACAAAATGTGAACATAGCAGACAAAACTCTTACAGATTACAGCTTTCTCAGTAGGTATCACTATACTAAATCAAAGATTTAGAATTATTTAAAAAGACGATATCGAATTCGTCAATGAATTCCCATGTTTATTGGGACACCCTGTAGTACAGGAATATATGAGTCAGATTCAACTTTGTAGCATTATTCTTAAAATTTTGATAAATGATAAATTTTATTCATCAATGCTAACTAAGGTTAATTTGGCTCCGGGGCTTCAACAAATTTTGTTGGATGAGAGAAATTATGAAAATGTGCAGACATAAAATTCGGGGAAACTGTACACCAATATTATTTCCCCAAACTGAAGGATTTTATTAAAATAATGTTGATGAATGTGTATATTTGAGTATTTAGTGTAATAATCCTGAATTAATCCTGAGCTGAGGTCTACAAAACCTTCTTACACAGTTCTCTGTACAGAAAAGAAATTCAAGAGATTCTAAATTACTCAACAACATTTCTTGATTAAAAATACCTTTTTTTCTGAATTTTTGTAGTTTTTTAAAAAATTGTTGAAGGGTCTGTAAGTGTATTTTTTTAGTAGCTCAATGCAAAGATGACAATGCCCGATTCACAATAGTACCCTTAAAAACTTTGTCTGATCAATTACGAATTATATATTAATGTTTGTAACTTTAAAACTGATTATTTTGAATGGCGGGGTCTCTATAAAAGTGCCTCTCGCATTACTATTGCAGGAATTTTTGAACTTACAAAAATGCTTCTTTTAGACTTTTAGTTTGTAAATTATGTCCCTCATTTAACAAAGAATGGGAGCTTATGGTTGAAACACAACTCCTGGATTTGAAAAAATAAAAGACGAGAAAAATTGGCCTAAATGGGTTTCTTTTCAAATATAAAACAAAGTGTGTAAAGAGTGTTGGTGTTGTGTATTATAAATGATACTTTTTTAAAGGAACTGTTAGCGTTATTTTCAGTGACTTTCCATGCAAAGATGACAGTGCCTGATTTACAACGTTAACCTTGAAACCATAGATAAAAATAAATCTATGCTTGTAATTTAATATGATCATAAATGTAGAAGATACCGTAGTTTTTCTCATTCGAAAAGCCATTCTCGCAGAGAAACCGCAAATAAAAATAAACAGTTTAAAGAAATAAAAACATTGATATCTAATTTATACTTGATCAGACAAAGCTTTTATGGGTACCATTGTGAAGCGGGCATTGACATAGTTGAATATGAAGGGTTACATGAAATTACCTTACAGTCCCTTCAAGGTTTGTACTTTAGAACTATATATCTGCATTATACATTCTGTGAAGGCTATGTGACTAGGATTTTTAATATTCGTATATGACAATATAACAAGATAAATCTACAACCATGTTTTCTCCTGAATAAAAACTAGAAAAACAAACTCAGATAAATGTTAAAACATAAATTCTGTCCTTGTATAATGCTTGAATAAGCCGGTCTATTCTTTATATACTAGTGCACACAATCCCCTTGATAGGACGTGACATGTTCCGACCTTTTCATTCCTTCGTTCATGGTTAGTCCGATTTGTTAAACCTTTGTCTGAGTTAAACTGATGGAGTTATCAGTCTTTTACTATTTCAAAATTTATTATTTTCAGTTGCGGTTTTACCCTTGAGTGATTGGCAGATTTAGGCAGATTTAGACAGAAAGAGAGAAAGTAGGAAATTTTCCGAATACGGTGTAAAAGCGACGACAGCTTCCTCATTGTTGCTCATATAAAGGTTAAAGAGTACCGTCACGAATCAGAATTTCCACTCTATAAATGAAGGATGACTTAAAATTGTCTCACAGTCCCTTTGAGTTTATTTATCGGATATACCTATCGAGTAACTGTTCATTTTTGACTTAAACTTTTCCTTTAGTTAAGGGACATTTTCCACTGCTACCGGGCAGGTCCTTCCGTTAGTTAAGGGACATTTTCCACTCCTACCGGGCAGATCCTTCCGATAGTTAACAGACATTTTCCACTGCTACTGGGCAGGTCCTTCCGCTAGTTAACGGAGATTTTCCACTCCTACCGGACAGGTCCTTCCGTTAGTTAACGGACATTTTCCACTCCTACCGGGCAGGTCCTTCCGTTAGTTAACGGACATTTTCCACTCCTACCGGGCAGGTCCTTCCGTTAGTTAACAGACATTTTCCACTCTTACCGAGCAGGTCCTTCCGTTAGTTAACGGACATTTTCCACTCTTACTGGACAGGTCCTTCCGTTAGTTAACAGACATTTTCCACTCTTACCGAGCAGGTCCTTCCGTTAGTTAACGGACATTTTCCACTCTTACCGGACAGGTCCTTCCATTAGTTAACGGACATTTTCCACCCCTACCGGGCAGGTCCTTCCGTTAGTTAATGGACATTTTCCACTCTTACCGAGCAGATCCTTCCGTTAGTTAACGGACATTTTCCACTCTTACCGGGGGCAGGTCCTTCCGTTAGTTAACAGACATTTTCCACTGCTACCGGGCAGGTCCTTCCGTGCTTTCAGGAAATCTCAATAAACACCCGAACTAAATGAAAACCTTCTAAGTAAATGTTTTTCAGGATTGTATCATTAGCAAGCTGTTTAATACACGAATTTGACGGAAATTTTGTAAATGTAAGAACATAATTTGGAATTTGAGCCTATGACTGTTTAAATTTCCGTCAATTGTATTGGATGAAGAAAACATTCTTAAAAACGCAAAATTAACCAAATTCCACAAGGCATAGATCTGTATACTAAAACCCATGTTTATTTGATATCTCTGTTTTGAATAATATTGTGTCTCCTAACTAAACCACCCACTGAGAACACTACGTTAGAAGTCGACACATCACTGCGCAATCCATAATATATGTTCATATATTATGTATAAGCTTAATCGTTACATCATGTAGACCAAACAAACATTCATATATTATAAAAAGACTGAAGTCAAAATCTCACTTTTATTTCTGAAATAAAAAAATTAGATTTCACATTAATGTGCCATCGAAAAATTAAGCATGATGCAAGTTTGCGTTAAACTTGAAAATTTTTCAGGGCAATTTTACTGGATCTATTTTTCTACTTCATCTTCATCAGCTGTCTTACAGGTATACAGGATACATGGAGTAAACCCTATCCTTACAGGTATACAGGATACATGGAGTAACGCTATTTAAACATTCAAACACAAATACATGGAGTAAACATGAGTCAGAGTAAATAAATTTCTTTGATCGGTTTCTTAAACTTTTATAAATCTCGTATTATTGCCAGGTGTGATCTGTTCCAGTACTCATAGAGGAGGTGGAGTAGAAAGAAAACTATCCAAACCTGAATCTGCAATAGTAGACCTAGTCCTGGCTAATTACAGGTCAATTTAAATCATTTTAAAATCAAGAAATTAAATACCACTCTAACAGTCTTTTATTACTGTATGTCAATCATAAATTCAGTAAAGATATTATTACTCATTATTATTAAAATTACTCATTATGAAAAAGGGCAAAACTAGAAATAATTGAATCCTAAGAATGGAGTTTTTACAAACCAGTACCTTGAGTTTTCAACCTAGATAAATTAGACTAGATAGCTCATATCGTCTTCACCATACCGGGGTGTTTCAGCTAAAATTGAAAATTTTAATTTAGCTCTGTAGCTATGTACGTCCATACAGTACATTGAATAAAAATAGTTGCGGCTTTGTTATAGAGGAACACTAATACACACAGTTTAGAATGACAAGATTGTGGCGGTTATGAAAGTCGTCCTTCTTGGATAATTCTCCGCGGCAGCTGAGAAGACTAGGGGGAGTTTCTTGAGCCACGTAATGATAATAAAAACCATGTGAATATAGAGATAACTTTTTACCACGTATCTTAGATAAAATATATAATCAGTTAATCGTGAACCTTGTAGTTATTTAGCTGATCGCCAAAATATATTGTATATTGTAAATTGTATATTGTATATTGTATATTCTACATTGTATATTGTATATATTTATATTGTATATTGTATATTGTATATTGTATATTGTATATTGTATATTGTATATTGTATATTGTACATTGTATATTGTATATTTTGTATATTGTATATTGTATATTGTATATTGTATATTGTATATTGTATATTGTATATTGTATATTGTATATTGTTTATTGCATATTGTATATTGTATATTGTATATTGTATATTGTATA